TAAAAGCTTTCAAGCAGCCATCTAAGATGCAGTGAATGGTCTCCTAGTATCGGAAGTGAAGAAGAAGGCAAAAAAAAAAAAAGGGCATTTAGAAGCAATCAACCGTAGGACACGATGGCCCTCGAGACCAGAAGAACTGGATGGTGCCCAGCTACCAATGCCAACCACTCAGGAAAGGATCAAAGCTGGAGATCTTAGATAGAGTGGGAGGGAAAATGTGGAACAAAATCCAAAAACTCAATAATGACCAGAATTACTGGTCAGATGAAATCTGGTGAGACTCCCAACACTATGGCCCTGAAATACATTCGGTGCCTATAATAAAACTTACCCCCAGGGGTGGGCTCTCAGCCCAATAGTTAACAAGATGTACACACAGACCATTCAACCCAGGATGCTGCACCCACACACTCAATGGTAGTACCTCCCTTAGAGCAAGAGACCATGGGACACCAAAGGACCAACATTCAAACTGAGGAAATGCAGGACAAACAGGAGTGCATAATTATGAGGGGCACAGGGGGAGGGTTGCAGGGTAGGGAGGAGAGGATACTGGGTTAGGGTTGGACATGGCGAATGTGGAATGAAACTAAATGTAAGTGTGACGTTGAATGTAAAACAAGCTCTTAAAATAAAAATAAATAGAGGAAAAACAAAAAACCAAACTCTCTGCTTTTAAGTCGTTTCTGACTCATAGCATCCCCTCCTTGGGTTTCCAAGGCAGTATCTCTACAGAAGTAGAATGCCCAGTCTTCCTTCCAACGAGTGGCTGGTGGGTTTTAACTACCAGCTTTCTGGTTAGCAGTCAAATGCCTTAGAAACTATGTTAACATGAATATTATGATGAATCAATGCAATGAAATACTATGGAGCCACTTACAAGTGACTTATAAAGACTGTATAATGTAGAATAATGTTTAGAAGCAAACTATGTGAAAAAAGAAAAGTGAGAAATTACACTTTTTAAGAAACACTAGAATGAAACAATAAAAATTAAAAATTAATCATGTTATATAAATTATTTCCTTAAAAAAATTGAAATACTATTTACTTTTTCATTTTAGAATACACAAAAATGGGAAAGAATATAAATATTGCCGACCACCCTCTTCTCTGAAGCCAATGAAAGCCTAGAAATTTGAATTTTCATATTCCTGTGTAGAAAACTGAAAGGCCTGGTTGCACTGTGGTTAAACACTTGGCTGCTAGCCAAAAGGTTGACAGTTTGAACCCACCAACTATTCCATGGAAGAAAGATAATACAGTTTGCTTCTATAAATATATTCAGCCTTGGAAACCCTATGGGGCAGTTCTTTTCTGTCCTATAGGGTCACTATGGGTCAGAATCAACTTGAAGGCAGTGGATTTGGTTTGCTTTGGTATGCACAGAATCATATTATTTTCAGAATAAGCAGGAACATACTATCTAAGAGCAAACCTGAGAATTACACATCTCGAGTGGCATTGTGCCTAAGGCATGTGACTGCTAACCAGAAGGCTGGTGGTTCAAACCCACCAGCCACTCCTCGGAAGGAAGATTGGGCAATCTACTTCTGTAGAGATATCCCCTCAGAAACCCAAGGAGGACTCACTCTGAGTCAGGATCAATTCAACAGGAGTGAGTTTGGGTTTTTGTTTTTTGGACTCTATGGTGGATAAGAACTGAGTATTAATGTCAGAACCAACTGACGAGTATACTGTTACCTTAACCTTATACAGGACATTGTGTGTATATATATATATATTTTAAATTTATATATACACACACACACACACACACACACACACATATACACACCAACCAAATGAAACTCACTGTCATAGAGCCATTTCTGACTCATAGTGATGATCCCTATTGGGTTTCTGAGGCAGTAAATCTTTACAGAAGTAGATTGCCAAGTCTTCCTTCCATAGAGTGGCTGGTGGATTTGAACCACTAACCTTCTGATTAACAGTCAAATGCCTTAGGCAATACGCCACCAGAGCTCCTCTTACATATATATAAATTTTAAGGGGAACTTAACACTGATGGGGAGGGGACAGTAGATAAAAGCCAAGAATATACTGGAGTAAGGGCCAAACTTTTTAGAGAAGTAAACTATAGTCACTTTACTACCCCCAAGTAGGTGTTATTGCTGCCTTCTGGCACCTTCATGTCAGAATCCATAAAATGCATAGCATTCTTGGCACAGAAATTATATCTCCTCTTCACAATAATCCTTCTTCTTAAGATGCTATCCTTGTCTTTGCAAGACTTTTCTTGTGATTAAACTATGAAAAACTTTGCTAAAAAATCAAACAAACAAATATAGTATGGTCTGTGTCCCTAAATGAAATTGTACAGGGCCTAGGACTGATTCCTTTTCTTTATCTTGTAATTAAACACCTAATTGGAAGCTTCTGGCTTCATTATACACTTTGAAAAGTGTAAGACATTTTTCCCAAAGAATTTGCTGACAAATTATTCCTCTAATAATACAAGCAATCCCTCGGTTACCTCCGAGAATTTAGGATTTACGGACAATTCTATGTGCCGTTTAATGTTATGTAAATTTGTCCTCACTTTGAAATGACTGAGCCAATCCATACCCACAATAAACTCTTCATCACAATCCCTTCACTTGTTGCATGTGCAGCTTTTAAATAATTGAAAAGGCTTTGACGATTTTCTGGCACTAAAATAAGGCTAAATAAGAATCGTATGTACCTGATTCTTAGAACACACTTAGGAACAGATATCCTGGGGACTGTCTGTATATTGTTTCCTAATTCTAAATGCCAAGTGACTGTTGAAAATTTGTGCATAAATACTTTAAATAGCATATGGTGATGGTTTTGGAACCAGTTATTAAGTAGAATGGACAAAGTTTTGAGAGAAGAGAGAGATAGTAATGGAAGTACTGGTAAAAATTATGGGTCTCCTTTCTGATACTGCCATATTAATAATGTTGGCAAAAGAATCCCTAGCATTCATACAACAGCAATGGAACTATTTATATATGTGTGTGTGTGTGTGTCTCTGTGTCTGTGTTGTTGTTGTTGTTATGTGCTGTCGAGTCAGACCTGACTCATAGCCATCTCTCCTTGGGTTTCTGAGGTAGTATCACTACGGAAGTAGATTGCCCCTTCTACCTTCCGAGGAGTGGATTTTTTTCCCCCCAAAGGAAGAAAATCTCCAGTTCTGTGTAAATTAGGAATTCCACATGCTGGAATAATATGAAAAAAAAATATGCAACAGAAAAAAGTAGGGAATATAATCCAAACTGTGTTATTAAACATTAAATCTTCTAAGTATGGAAGAACTTTCTCAATTTTCACCTGGGAGGGCAAAAGAAAAGAAAAAATATGTGTTAAGTTGATGTGTTTATTTGGGCCTCAATATCTTCATCTAAAAATGTACTATCCAGTATGTTACCCATTAGCCAAAGTGAGGTGCACTAGTGGCACAATGAATGGTTAAACACTTGGCTGCAAACTGAAAGGTTGGTGGTTCAAATCCACCCAGTGGCTCCGCAGGATAAAAGTTGGCAATCTGTTTCTGAAAAGATTATAGACTAGAAAACTATGGGGCAGTTCTACTCCGTCCTACAGTTGCTGTGAGTCAGAATTGACTAGATGGCCCACCACAACAATAACACCCTCATGTGGCTACTGAGCATTTAAAATGTCATTAGTCCATGCCCCAGAAGAGTCACTCAATGTATAATTGTCTTTACATTGGATGAATGTGGTATGGACTATGTCACCTCCTATCATTAATTACCTAGGTTGATTTCATTTTTCAATCCATTATTGAATAAAATAAACCTGGCATCTGAAAATAAAAGTCCAATTTGAGATGTGCCATAAGTATAAAACATACACAGGAATTTGAAGATTTAGTGTTAAAAAAAAAAGAATTAAAAAATGTCATTAATATTTTTACATTGAACTTGATAATATTTTGGATATATTTAGTTAACCAAAATATACTGTTAAAATTAATTTTACCTGTTTCTACTTTTCTTAATGTGACAAGTATAAAATTTAAAATTTTGTATGTGACTTGTATTTGTGGCTCTCATATTTCTATTGGACAGCACTGGCATATAGTATGAATCAAGTTGGATTAAATAGCCTTTAACATTCAGGCTAATAATAAAAGTTTTTCAAAACAGTTATTTTAGAGAAGCCTAAGTTTAGTAGCTATTTTATTACTTTTCTATTTTTTATGGACCCCTAATAAACAAAAGGAATAAATATTTCACTTTATTTACTTATAAACTACAAATATGCAGTTTCTAATGAGACCTGTTGACACAATGGTTATGTGCTTAACTGCTAACCATAAGGTCTGAGGTTCAAACCCACCAGTGGCTCTGCAAGAGAAAAGACCTGGTGATCTGCTCCCATGAAGATTTCACCCTAGGAAAACCTATGGGACAGTTCTACTCTGTCATATAGGGTCTTTATGAGTCAGAATTGACATGATGACACACAACAATGATGCAGTTTATAGGCCCATTCTAAGCAAATAATAATAAAACTTTATTTGGTCACATCCTTTTTTGCTTCACACTATACTCGTGCCTGTTTGTAATGCCTTGCAATGAATATTAAACTGTGTGCACGTTTTTAGTTTTAATATCCATAAAATAAGAATTATGAAATTAGAGAATTTTAGAGGTCTTATATTTCAGTGGTTCCCAAACATGTTGGCACTTTTGAAATCCTTGAGGAATGTTTGAAAAATATTATTACTAGGTTTGAATCTCAGAGATTCTGATTCAATAGGTGTGGGATGAGGTCCAGGATTCTGTACTTAAGAAGCTTTCCAGGGCACTCAGGATCCACCAGATTTGGGAACCACTAACTTCATTTAGTTAATTTGTAACTTGTTAACATGAGTTGTTCCACTACTGGACTCAGTGGTCTCAGATCTGGAACCAAGATGCAAGGCTCTTAATTCTAGCTTCCTGCCATTGTAGAGAAAGATGGTATTGGACACAAACATTACTCACTCCTCAAGAGCTCCAGCTACCAGAATATCTTCCCGGTCAGTTTTAACATCCAGTTCTGGTTCTCCATTAAGCAGAAGCTTTAAATTGTAAATAACCAGCAAAGTACCTGGTAGGAAAATAGATGTTTGCCTTGTCAATATTTTAAATACACTAAATGTTTGTCTTGTGCTATCATTCATTTTTGGAATTAAGCAGACCAAATTTTTTTTTGTGCTTCAATAAATAGTACGTTTGGATAAGTTCCAAGTTTGGATATGTGTCTTATAGCAAATTCCAATCCCTGCCAAAGAGGGTTGAGTTTGTACACCATGGATTTTCTTACCACTACTCAATTCATTATGATCTCTTCAACATGGATTCTTAATCTTTGGTACTCTATTCATAATTTGAATGATGAAAAACTGTTAGGATCCTGAATCAAATATGTGTTATGGGTAAAGTTCTCATTAATGGAACAGAAATCAGTGCAAATAAGAATTATATAATTAGGAAAACTTGTACGAAGTACTGCTTCTTGACTCTATGGTGGAGGTTGGCAAATTTTTTTCTGTTAAGTGTCAAATAGTATTTTAAGCTCTGCAGGCTATATAATCTCTGTCACAACTACTTACAACACACCTCTGCTGTTGCACCATGAAAACAGATGTAGAAAATACATAAATGACTGAGTATGGGTGTGTGCCAATAAAACTTTATTTACAGAAATTGGTGGGGGCCAGATTTGACCCATGGGTCGTAGTTGGCTGACTTCTGCTCAAAAGCATTGCTAATAAAAATCAAATTCTTTACAAAATTGACTGTGATATGAACACAAATAGGATTGATACAGAAATCAAAACATGTAATTATGTTTATTTATTTATTTATTTTCATCATTCTTAAACATCTCTGGTGGCATAGTGCCTAAGGCATTTGACTACGAACCAGAAGGCTAGTGGTTCAAACCCACTAGCCACTCCTCAGAAGGAAGATTAGGCAATCTACTTCCATCCAGATATTTCCTTGGAAACCCAAGGAGGGGTCGCTATGAGTCGGATCTGACTTGAGGGCAGTGAGTTTGGTTTTTGGTTTGGTAAACATGAGGGAGAATAGCAAGGTGGCTAAGAATATAAAATGTAGAAGTCAAATGATTGTGTTCAAATTCTGTGTCTACCACTTGTTAGTGCAGTGACCTCAGACTAGTTTCTTGATCTTTCTGTCAAGTTTCCTAATTTTTCTCACCTATAAAATGGAATTCATGAGGTACTTATCTCATAGAATTGTTTTGAGTATTAAATGAGTAAATTTTTTCAAAGTAGTTAGAAAAGAATCCAGCAGAGTAAGAACTTTAATGCTAGAATTATGGGTATTTCACAGTTAGAAATTTAAAAGACTACAAAACCTGTCTTTAAAATATCTCAGGCATAAAGTAATAAAACCAATAATATCAGAGAAGGAATTATGAAGGTTTAGTAGGCCAAATCAGAAACAAATTTCTCTACAAACATTACACGATTAGCAAAAAAGGAAACACACATAGAGTTTTCTACAACAGGGTTCTTTTTCATTCCAAATACGTGAAGTGGTAGAAGGAAGCAAGGAAAAAAGTTGGCACTGGGAAATGTCAGTAGACACAGCATATTCTACTATATGTTGAGTAGCAGTTTGGTAGATGTAGAAAGAGTTCGGAAAGAATGTTTACAAAGCTCTTACTAACTCTACCACAGAAACCCGGATTCATTACTTTACAAGTCACAAACCCCTTGTAAATCTGGAATCACCTAGTATCAGATGATGCAACAAGTGTCACTTAACTTTGTTATATGGTGCAGCTGGGGAATACCTGTGGTGGTAGGCTATATCACCCCACCCAGGCAGTTTCAATAAGTTTGTGCAAGTACAAACATTGCTTCTATTATCAGGGAGTTACAGTGATTCATGTTTGGATTCTTTTAAGATAAAACTCAAAACAATAAAATAAATGACTGCTCCCATGTGAGATCTCATGTGAGATTTTGAGTACAAAAATATGAAAACATATTTATAGGATCTTTCATAAGACACAGAAAACAAATACTTGCATCAAAATTTCCATTTTGATGATCTTACCACATTTTCCATAGATCATATCAAATTGCTGCATCAATTCAGCTTCAGTTTTAAATGGGGAGTATTTATAAATTATAGATAATTCTGTTGAGAATTTTATAAGGTTATTGGTGACATATTCTCTGGTTCTTGTTAGCCATGATGGTATTGGAACCACAACCTTGAAAAAAAGAATCAATTTATTATGAAATGTACAAATAAAAAAACATCATCTCTTTTGTCTGATCCTAATTCACACACTCTCATTCAGCCAAATTACAGAACACAAAGTGACGTTTACTTCTCCATATATTTCCAAGGATAAAACTATAATTAAATTTACTCAGAGTTTTCTTTTAAAATGATTCCTTGTGAAATGTGGAGATGGATAAAATCTACTTCAGGCTCCTAATGAAAAATGGGTAAAATGGCAGAGGAAACAATAGGACCAACATTTTAGAAGTTGACAAGCAGATGACATAGCAGACGCAAGAAAAATTAATCCAAAATCAATACCAGAAATGAGAAGAACCAGCCTGATATACAATTCAGAAGCCCCTGAAAGGCTCAGGGATTGATAGTATAAAGTAGTTCTAAACCAAAAGAAATGTTTTGCTTTAGAGTTGATTCCAACTCATAATGACCCCATAGGACAGAGTAGCACTAACTGCCTCAATGGGTTTCCAAGGCTGCAAATCTTTATGGAAGCAGATCACTACATCTTTCTCCCATGGAATAGCTGGTGCATTTGACCACTTACTTCTCAGTTAGTAGCCAAGCAGTTAACCATTGAGTCACCAGGGCTCCTAGAGGGGAGTAATGGGAGAAGAGAGCTAGAAATGTATCTAGATTCCTGTCTGACTACAACTTTACTCCCTCCCACAGAACTAGATCCTTATTCTCCAGGAAGAGTGGGATAAAGCATATCTGGATGACAGGACCCACCAGGCACTGTTGTTGAGGGGACTGCACTGAGATTAGAGAGGTTAAGTAAATGTACACTATTGATTGCTGAGGACCCAGATCTCATTTGGCTCCCAAAGGACTGGTAATCAGACCTTCAGATAGAAACTGTTGGAGTTTTCTCTAAGAAATTTGACCATTCCAGAAAGAAAGATATAACATTTCATTGAAGGTTCCCAAAACAAAAACAGCCCATTCAGATCACATTAAAGTGACACTCAAAGATAACTTCCACACAGATTCTCAGAACTTTCAGTCTTTTAGTAGCCTAATCTTTAAAGTACTGAGAATTAATGTTGTTACTATTGTTAGCTGCTAAGAAAAGCCATCTAAGGAAAGGCTCTAATATAATAAATAGAGACCAAAACAAACAAAATAAAGCAACTCACTGAAGGAGAAATCACACTAGGAAGATAAAAATTTCAAGAAAAAAAATTAGTCATTGCTAATATCTTCAGAAATATAAAAGAAAATACTATGTCCATGAAAAAAGATCTAGGTGTCTTTTAAGAAAAAAGAAAAAAGAACAGTGAATGAATAAGGAAGAACTTATAAACTTTTTGAAAATTTCTATAAAAGAATTGAAAGATAAATATTAGAGTTTCCCGTAAAAGGAAACAAAAATACGAAAGACAGAAAATAGAAAAATAAGAAAATGAGAGAACCCAATCAACAAGGCTAAGAGCTGGAAAACAGAAGTTCCAAAATGTTATAAATTGAATTGCATCTTTCCCAAAAAAGATATGTTGAAATCCTAACCCCTGGTATCTGCGAAGGTAACTTTGTTTGGAATAGATTATTTGAAGTTATTATCAGTTAATATGAGGTCATACCAGAGGAGAGTAGAATCTAATCTCATTCTAATGGTGTTGTATATAACAGGAGAAAAGGCACAGAGAGCTAGAATATCCAGTAACTTCAGAGGCATCCAAAAACCAAGGATTTCCAAGAGCCACCAGAAACTAGGAGAGAGGCCTTGAAAAGTATCTTTCTGTGAGACCTGTCTATCAGATTTTTTCTGATCAAACAGAATCAACATGACCTATACTTTGATTTGGACTTCAAGCATCCAAACTGTGAGATAATACATTTCTATATAAAGCCATCTACTTTATGGTATTATCTCCTTGTTTTGGATGTTAGAAATCCAAATCAAAGTATTGGTCATGTCGATTCTGTTTGATCAGAAAAAAATCTGATATTTTATGTTTGGAAGCTCTGGTGGTATAGTGCCTAAGGCATTTGACTGCTAATCAGAAGGCTAGCAGTTCAAACCCACCAGCCACTCCTCAGAAGGAAGGTTGGGCAATCTACTTCTGTAGTGATACCCCCTTGGAAACCCAAGGAGGGGTCACTATGAGTTGGATCCAACTTGATGGTGGTGGGTTAGTTTTTTTTTAGCTTTTTTTTTTTTAACTTTATGGTATTTTCTTATAGCAGCCCTAAGAAACTACACACAAAAAGAAAGAAAAGAGAACATGACTGGAAGAAAATCATCAGATGTTATAAGAAAATGTCTCTGAAATAAAGGACATGAGTTCCAGATTAAAAAGGTCCAATATGTGACCAGCACTATGGATGTAAATAGACCCAGACAAAGGCACAACATTGGAATCAGAACACCAGGGACAAAAAAAAAAAAAAAAAGTCTATTCACCTTCAAATTGTGGAAGAAAAATAAAACAGAAGGTCACAAACAAGAGTCTACAATCAAAATGGCTTTAGATTTCCTAATAACAATACTAGAAGCTAGAAGATAATGGAGTGGTGCCTTCAAAATCCTGAAGGAAAATGAATTCTTATCCAGAAATAATACCAAGCTATACCATCAGTAAGTATGAGGGTAGAAAAAAAAATATTTTCACACATATGAAGTATCAAATATTTTATTTCCCATTCACCCCTGGGAAGCTCTGGTAGTGTCATGCCTAAGATTGATACAGTGGCTGCAGCAATAGGTTCAAGTATAGTAAGGATTGCGGAGTGGGCGTGGGACCAGGAAGTGTTTCATTCTGCTGTGCCTAGGGTCGCTATGAGTCAGAGATGACTTGCCGGCACCTAACAACAACAACATAAACTGCAGTACCACAGACACTTCATAGCACAGTTCTTCAGGAAGATGGAATTAATAGGAGAGGAGATTGAGCCGGAGGTTAACAGTGATAAAAACACTGACAGCAAAACAAATGTTTAGTGATAATGCTAAATACATTAAAATATAGATAATTATTAACTTTAAGGAATATGAAAGTCAAGAAAAAGGAAAATAATAATTGTTTATGATACTGTAAATTAATTAAATTAATTAACTGTAATTGTAATTAGTTGCATGACATTAGGCTTATAATGTAAATAATTAATTTGGCATAAACAAAATTAAATAGAACTAAGTTAAGGGTAAGAGATTAAAAGCATTAGCATGAATGATGCAACATGGGGGAAAAGATAGTTGATCCTCCTTTTTTATAGTGAGAAGTTAATATATAATATCTAAATCAAATCAAGAAGAAGTAGTGCAAGGATGTTACTTAGAGATAAGTAGGTAATATCCAAAGAACAAATTGTTGAACGAGGTTGCCTCTTCAAAGATGTAGAAATGGGAAAGCGGTTAGTGCTTTTAATTGAAAAAAAAAAAAAAAAAGGAACTACCTCATTCTGTTGTTATTTTGCCATCGAGTGAACACCAACTCATAACGACCCCTCCTTGGGTTTCCGAGGTGGTATCACTACAGAAGTAGATTCCCAACCTTCCTTCCAAGGAGTGGCTAGTGGGTTTGAACCTCCAGCCTTGTGGTTAGCAGTCAAGTGCCTTAAGCTCTATGCTACCAGAGTTCCTAGGAAAAGTATCACCTCACCTTTAGCTCAATTTCCCTTTACACCCAAAGTGCAACATAAATGAGTAAAGCATCATTTTACTCAAGCCTGTCTCCTGCTCTGCCATGGTCTATTACGTAAGATTGTTCCAGTTATCCAACCTCATTCCATTACTGCACAGGGGATGGAGGCCCTTGCTGGGCAGTCTCCACACATCCACAAAAACCCTCCAAATCCCAAACTCCTGTCCATATCTGAGGCTTGCTGCGTGCTACCTCCACATACCAGCTTTTGCCCCTTCAGATTGTACTGTCTTGTTAAAAAAAACATTTTGACCACTCAAGGCTCTCTAATCTCTCCATTCATATAATTTCTTTTGACATATAACAATCACAATGCTTATTCGTAGAGCAGCGTTCCTTTAAACACCCTTGTTTTATTATTTAATCGAGTCTTTTTATTTAATCAATTCCTATTTAATCAGTTCCAACAAGGCTGAAAATTCTTAGATGGTCATATGTTCTTCTGCTTCTTTTTTACCTTCCATAAGGCCTATCCTCATGCTGGACAAACAGTAATTACTCAACATAATTCAACTTGTTGAACTGAACAACTTACATTACTTACAGTAAAACTCAGGCACTGCACATAAATGAAATTCCTGCAAAATCATCAAAGGGAGTTGAAATTATGGTCACAAGAGTCACTATCAGTCGAAATCTACTCGGCAATGGGATTTTTGAATTTATAGTTATAGTTCAAAGTCTATTTTATAACCCATTTCTTTAAATTGTCTTGGAATTCAGAATTCCATTTACTTAAAAATTAAAATCCATTCATGGCACAAATAGTGGCAAGGTTTTGCAAGCTTCTTCCAGTAAACTTATTATACAAAAAAAAAAAAAAAATGGATAATGGAAATTCATCTCTGATAACTGCATAGGAGCTCTGGTAGCGTAGTGGCTAAGGCACTTGACTGCTAACCAGAAGGCTGGCGGTTCAAACCCACCAGCTACTCCCCAGAAGGAAGATGGGGCAATCTACTTCCGTAGTGATACTGCCCTGGAAACCCAAGGAGGGGTCGCTATGGGTTGGGTCTTACTCAACGGCACATAACAACAACAACAAGGAAGGGTCAATAGTACAGGCCTCCCATGACCCCCGATTTTCCCTTCCCCTTCTCTCCATTTGCCAAATGTATTCTTGAATTTCTAAATAACAGGAAGAACCTATGACATGTTTACATCCTATAGCATAAATTAAAAACACCACCATTACCATAGTAATGGAAGGAAAACAAATCTTACCTCATTAAGACCTTCTCTTTCACAGAAGGTCTGAGAGAAAAACACACAGGTCATTGTTTCTTCCTTCTTTGTAAAGAGAATAAAATCTTTCCCAATTCTCATGGACCCACTATAAAATGAAGAAAATAATGGTTTTCATATTGAATAGTAAAAAAGAAGAAACAGGTGAGCATGGCACTGTGTGTTCTATTTAACAGGGTAGTCTTTTCATTATAAAACAAACAAACAAACAAAAAAACACCCTCCACTGTTTCCTGACCCATTACCAATAGAGCACAAGTTTCTTGTTTTTGTTTTTCCTCAAAGTTTTTTTTTTTTTTTTTTTTCCTCAAAGTAGAGTTGATGGATTTGAACTGATTCAGCCACACTTTCTTGCTTGAGACATGGCTACTAGAAATATGCTGGTGCTTGGGTCCTGAGAGTCACCAGGCCTTGGCAGGAGTCCCATGGATGATAGTAGCCTCTTGTTCTCACCTCTAACTGAGGTACACTAAAAAAAATTAACTGAGGACATATAGCACCTAGGCTAAAATGTACTTGAGAAATAATAAAACATAGAGATGGAAAGAAGCTCTGAAGTACATGGATGTTGTTTCAGTAATTTCTGGAAGAAGATTCAGGTTATTATATTTAACTCAATTAGCTATTAGCTTTTTTAAAAAGTTGTAAAGATACAAGTCAGTTATGGGTATTATGGTTCTAAGGCAAGGCAAGACTCCTATGCCTTTCTCCCCACACTCTTGGACTTTTACACAAAATTATTATGTACCCCAGGATGATATCCTTTTGTAAATATTACACAGAGAGAGCATTCCATATAAAATTTCCTTTAACTAAATATAGTTCCCAATATCAATAAGATATAACTTAAGTGGAAAACCACTCACCTTTTAAGACCATTGCCATACTGCCCAATGAACTTGAAGCTGGATAACCGTTTTTTGGATGTTCCAAAATAAATAATGTCTGAAGCTTCCTCTGTAATTAACAAAGATTTTTAAGGTAGATAAAAATTAGGAAAATTGGAAGTTGTAAAAAATGAAATGGAACCCATGAAGATCGGTATCCTAGGTGTTAGTTAGCTGAAATGGAAAGGTACTGGACATTGTGAATCGAACAATCTACTATACTGGGAACGACAAATTGCATCACATTCATCATCAAAAAGAACACTTCAAAATCTACCCTGAAGTACAATGCTGTCAGTAATAATATCTATATGCCTATAAAGAAGACTAGTTAATAGGACTATTATTCAAATTTACACACTAACCACTAATGTCAAAGAAGAAGAAATTGAAGATTTTTACCAATTTCTGTAGTCTGAAAATGATCAAACATGTATAACCAAGGTGCACTGAAAATTACTGGTGATTAAAATGTGAAAGATGGAAACAAAGAAGGATCAGTAGTTAGAAAATATGGCTTTTGTAATACAAATGACACCAGAGATTATATGATAGATTTTTGAAAGTCCAATGCCTTTACAAGCACCTTTTTTTTTCAACAATATAAATGGAGGTAATATATGCAGATGTCACTAGATGGAATACACTGGAATCATATAAACTACATCTGTGAAAAGAGATGATGGAGAAGCTCAGTATTATCACTCGGAATAAGGTGAGGGGCTGACTGAGGAATAAACTATCAATTGCTCATATATAAGTTGAGGTTGAAGCTGAATAAAATTAAAACAAGAACACTACAAACAAACATAACCTGGAATGTATCCCATCTGAATACAAACACCAACTCAAGAATAGATTTGATTCATTGAACACTAATGACTGAAGAACAGAAGAATTGTGAGATGACATTAAGGACATCATATATGAAGAAAACAAAAGATCATTAAAAGGAAAGAAAAGACTAAAATGGATGTCAGAAGAGACTCAAACTGGACATTTTGCTAAAGCAAAAGGAAGAAATGATGAAATAAAAGGGCTGAATACAAGATTTCAAAGGGTGAAATCCTTTGGGAAGATAAAGTATTATAATAAAATGTGCAAAAACCTGGAATTAGAAAACCAACAGGGAAGAACACCCTAGTCATTTCTCAATCTGAGACAAGTGAAGAAAAAAAAAAGTTCAAAGCTTGAGCTGTAATATTGAAGGATTCTATGAGCAAAATATTGAATGATGCAGGAACAATCAAAGGAAGATGGAAGGAATACAGACAGTCACTGTACCAAAAAGAACTGGAAAAAGTTCAACCATCTCAGGAGATAGCATATGATTGGCAACCAACTGTGTTGAAGGAAGAAGTTCAGGCTGCATTGAAGACATTGATGAAAAACAAGACTCCATAAATTGAAAAATTCTACTTGTAATGTTTCAACAAATGGATGCAGCCCTAGAGCTGCTCACTCTGTCTATGACAAGAAATTTGGGAAACAGTTACCTGGTCAACTGATTGGAAGAGATTCACATTGGTGCCAATTGCAAAGAAAGTTGACCTAACAGAATGCAGAAAATATCAAACAGTATCACTAATATCATGTGCAGGTAAAATTTTCCTGAATATAATTCAAAAACAGTTGCAACAGTACATCAACAGGGAACTGCCAGAAATTCAAGCTAGATTCAGAAGAGGATATACAATGAGGGATATCACTGATGATGTCAGATGGATCTTGGCTGAAAGCAGAGAATATCAGAAAGATCTTTACCTGTGTTTTACTGACTATACAATGACATTGGACTGTGTGGATCATAACAAATTATGGATAACATTGCAATGAATATATTAATGCAGAAACTGTACATTGACCAAGAAGCAGTCACTCAAAAAACACAAAGGGATACTAAATATTTTAAAATCAGGAAAAGTGTGAGTCAAGATTATACCATTTTTGCCATACTGATTCAATCTGTATGCTGAGCAAATAACCCACAAAACTGGACATTATGACAGAGAATGTACCATCAGGAGTCGAGGAAGATTCATTAACAACTTTTGATATGTAGAGGGCACAACCTTGCTTGCTGAAAGTGAAGAAGACTTGAAACACTTACTGATGACGACCAAAGACTATAGCCTTCTGAATGGATTACACCTCAACATAAAGAAAACAAAAATCCTCACAACTGGATTAATATGCAAAATCATGATAAACAGAAATGATTGAAGTTTCCAGTGATTTCATTTTACTTAGATCCAAAATCAATACTTAAGGAAGCAGTAGTTAAGAAATCAAATGACATGATTGCATTGGGCAAATCTGCAAGTGAATTCTTTAAAATCTTTAAAAGCAAAGATGTCATTTTGGAGACTAAGGTGTGCCTGACCCAATGCATGGTACTTTCAATTGTTTCATATGTATGCAAAGTCTGAACGATGAATAAGAAAGACTGAAGAATTGATGCCTTTGAATTATGGTGTTGGTGAAGAATATTAAATAAACCATGGACTGCCAAAATAAAGAACAAATCTGTCTTGGAGGAAGTACAACCAGAATACTCCTTAAACACAATGATGGCAAGACTTTGTCTCTTGTACTTTGGGCATGTTATCAGGAGGGGCTGGTCGCTGCAGAAGAACATCATGTTTAATAAAGTAGAGGGTCAGTGAAAAAGATGAAGACTCTCAACAAGATGGATTGAGAAAGTGGCTACAAAAATGGGCTCAAAAATAGCAGTTGTTGTGAGCATGGTCAAGGTCAGACAGTGTTTCTTTCTGTTGTACATAAGATGACCATGAGTGGGAACTGACTAAACAACATCTAACCCCAACAGGAATTATGAGTCATTGATACTGCTTGGAGGTCCAGTTGTCAGGACCTTACTCAGATCTCTGGATATTAGGACAAGTTCAACCTTTTTGGTAAGCCCTAAGATAAAGACTCTTCTCAGGGTCCATGGTCTCTGACCAAAATCTTAGCAGTATTACACTGAAGGGGGTAAGGAGACTTCACAGTCAGACAGACCTAGCCATATGATCTTAGGTAAATACGTTTAAAACTTTGAGCCTTAATTTCCTCATCGCTAAAAAGGAACTATTAATATTTACATCACAGAGCTCTTGATGAAGATAAACAGAATTAATTAAATGAGATTATGTAGTTGTGAATGCTGGCACATGATATTTGGCACTTTGTAAGTGCTAATGATTTATAGATGCTATAATAATTTATATCAATAGTAATTTTCCCGTGGATGTGACTTTTTCCTAGATTGTCCATGTGAGACCAAGGACAGGTTGGCTCCCAGTCTGATACTACCAGGGGAAAAGGGTTAATTGTTTCAGACTTTCAGAGTCACTTTTCTAATCTCATCAGGATATTTTGGAATTCTGTAAGAAATCTTCTGGACTTCCAATTATACCTACTTTCAGATACAGCCACAGTGCTCCCAGAGAAACAAGAAAAAGACACGAATAGATCTCCCAACTAGCATACCTGAATACATGTTTTAGAATGGCCCTTAGGATCTTATGTCAGCTTGGCTGAGGACATGCTACTGTTTAGTGGCACCTAAAGTGTATATTCGGGAGTATCAGAGAGCCTGCTTCTCTGCAGTTAACTGGACATTCTACCAAGCTCTTATAAGACGTTCATATGTTAGGTGACTGCCACTCATCTGTCAGTTCGTTGGACTATGGTGACTTATGTGTTGCTATGATGTTGAAAACTATGTCACTAGTATTTCAAATACAACAGGGTCATCCACAGTGGGCAGACTTCAGCAGAGCTTCCAAACTAGGTCAGACTTGGCTATTTACTTCTGAAAACTAGCCAGTGAAAATCTTATGGCTCACAACAGAATATTGTCCAATATAGTGCTGGAAGATGAGCCCTATAGGTTGGAAAAAACTATACAATAGATGCAACAATGGACTCAACATACCAATAATCATGAAGAGTATTTTGTTCTCTTATCTATTTGGTCACCGTAAGACAGAAGTGACTTGATGGCAGCTAACAAAAACAAATGTTAGGTGGGGTATAAAACCCATTGCCATCAAGTCAATTCCAACTCATGGCAACCTCCATTTAGTTTCCAAGGCTGTAAATCTTTACAGAAATGGATTGCTTCATCATCCTCCCATGGAGCAACTGGTCAGTTTGAACCACTGACCTTCAGGTTAGCATCCAAATGCCTTACCCACTATATCTCAAGAGCTCCTTTAGGTGGAGTACACATAATGAAAACCAAACCCACTATCATAGAGTCAATTCTAACTCATAGCAAACCTACAGACAGAGTAGAATAGCCCTGAATAGCCCAGAGAGTTTCTAAGACTATAATCATTGTGGAGGCAGATTGCCTTATCTTTCTCCTGCAGAATAGCTGGTGGGTTCAAACCACTGACCTTCTGGTTAGCAGACCAATGCTTTACCCACAGTACAACCAGAAATCTTTTTAATGACAATTATAGCTACTTTTTATGGTTCAGTATGTACTATATATGTGTTATATTTTCACATGTATTTTCTGTTTAATATTTGCAGCAAATCTATAAAGAATATATTATAATCTGTATGTTATAGAAGAATAACAAGTTTAAGCATTTAAGTACCCTACCTGAGATCACACAGTGGAAAACTGGGACAGTTAGGATTACAACCTCAAATTGCCAGAGACTGAATGTTGTGTGTTCATCACTACACCATAACGATTGTCATACAGACCAGAGTTCTGTGCATTGAGATAGAACACTTAACAGAACAGACACAACCACTGTCCTCAAAGGTTTTATATCTTGGTAGTAGAAATAGTTCTATTATGTAATACATGGAGTCACTATGAGTTGGAATTAAATGGGCAGCAATGGATTAGTAGACACAGAATGAAAGAAACAGAAAAATGAATAAGATCATTTCTGAGAGTGTTAAGTGAAGGAGACAAAACCAAGGTAACATGATAAAGAAATAAGAGTATGGACTGCAGATAGGATAATCAGAGAAAGCCTATTTGAGAAGGTAATAATGGCTATGAGATTCAAAAGATGAAGGGCAGATATTTGTGACCACAGA